AAAAAAAAAAAAAAAAAAAAAAAAAATCAGATAAGTATTTTGTACTTCGAGGATCAATTTCAAGGATGTCTTTCATATGCCAGTTCGTTGCAGATGCTGGACCGTGAAGTAGCAGCCGTGCATGAGTTCTTGAAGTCAGGAAAGATGCTTCACATAATGCGCGATACTTCATCGCATGGCGTGCCGATTCTCGGGGGCACTTACGGTGTGAACCAGGCGGCCTGTGACCGCTCGCTCCTAAATCGCATCCGCGGCCAAGTTCTTGCCAAACCCAAGAAATCGTACGACCAGTCAGTGCTGCGAGTGAGCAAAAAAATCTGTTGTGATTTTAATCTATTGAGAAATTGTGGAAGACTAATGTGATTATTATGAGAGAAGCTTGTAATTATAATGAAATGTAATTATAATGAGAGAAGCCATTTCATTGTAAAAAGCTAGTTTTCATTTCATCATTGGAAAGAATATTGAGTCCACGTTTACAGAATACATTGTGTTCGTCTGCCTAGAGAACAGTGTGCTGAATATGTGAGGTAATAATTTGGTAATTTTTTAGATACGCAATTTATTTATTTGGCAATTTATTCAAACGAGCGGGAGTTCTTCAAGAATCTGGTGTAATTAATAAATTTTGATTCAAAGAAGGTTGTAGACTTCTTCATTATTTTGACTGCATCGGAGTAATTGGAGTAACAACTACGACATTGAGCAGCCGTTTATCCTGTCACCTGAGACAAGCTCGCCATCAGACCAGGTCTCAGAGAATTACAATTGAGCAACTTCTCGAGATCCGCAATCAACTCAAGTGGCTCCATGACAACCTTGACAACAACGTCAAACCCCGAACAATACGCAGCAACGGTCACTTCAAACGAGCGGGAGTTCTTCAAGAATCTGGTGTAATCAATAAATTTTGCTTCAAAGAAGGTTGTAGACTTCTACATTATTTTGACTGCATTGGAGTAATTGGGGTAACTACTTTGACTTTTAGCAGCCGTTTATCCTGCCACCTGAGACAAGCTCGCAACCAGACCTGGTCTCAAAGCATCACAATCAAGCAACTTCATCTCAAGATCCGCGATGAAATCAATTGGCCCCGTGACACTCTCGACAACGTCAATCTCAACGAGACTGTCATTTGCACTGCGCTAGAGGAACCCACCAGCATCGTCATCTTGCGGTGGCCCGACATAATTCGACCGACGATAGCTGAAGCCCTTTTCTGCGGATTGGACTCCATCTATCCATCTCATAACTACCTGATTTTCTAAGCTTGAGATTGTTGTGGAATTATTTTCAAAGTTCCAAATTTTCGTGTTGTATCCTATTTACTTGTATCATGTACTTATTTCCATCAAAATTTCTGTATTCAATGCTTCCTGAAACTTGAAAATGAATGTTGTTACATTCGAAACGTTGTTAATAAAGTGATATTACTCCCTTGAACCTGTATTTTGATCAACTAATGTCATCTGAAGAATATTGTTCGACCCTGAAAATTTAAATTGACGAATTCTCTGGCCATTAACCACCCGTGTTGAAAAAATTTATTTATTATGCAGGGGCTTGCCATTCATTTCATGGAGAAGAACCCCAGTATATCAAAACTCTACTTTGATTGACACTGCAAAGCTTGTAGGGCAACATGGGGCAGCGCGCCCCCCCCTTTTTTTAAACTAAATTTTTGATGAAGTTTCAATTGATACGAGATGGTTCTTTGTTTTGTTACATGCCATGTGAGGCAGCCAGCATGTCATGTGAGGCAGCAAGCATGACATGTGAGGCAGCAAGCATGGCAGCAAGCATGTGAGGATGCAAGCTGTATAAGTAGCTCAAAGGATCGTTTCACCATATAAGAGCTAGAATAAGATTATGTGCAGTATAAGTGATAAATCAGGAGTTTGAATTGACATACAATAATCATAACTCTTAATCACGGTCGAGACATTGACTGATGATTCACAGTACTCGCACCAACCTAAGTAGCCAAGCAACAATTTCTTCGCTTCCGCTTAATAGATTGATTTGAACATTTGAATTTACGGAAGAAATTCATGGCTTAAACTGATTTTTAATTATCAGTTGAGTCAATCTATGAACTGATCCAGTTTTATAATTCTACTCCTGTAACTCAACAAACAGATAAGGCTCAGAACCTTGTAGGCGATGGAAGGATCCAAGGTCCTTCTATTTCCTTATCTTTCGGGTCCACGAAATAAATTGAAAAGATTACTTCTCAAACCTAACTCTAAATTTTTCTTATGCTTGATATTAATTGGGGCTTCAGTATACGTTCTGGCAAACAATGATGTGAAATTATCCCTTGGCGATAAAGGACGTTTGAATTATGGGCCAAGCGGAATTCGGCAGAATTCTGCCAGACAACTGCAAACCCGATTCACAATGAATTTGCTAAATCTGTACGTAACTTGATATTTCTGACCATTTTCACGTCAAATTGTGTAGGCATTTGCCTTGTCTTTATTAATTCATTATTATAGCCAATAATCAAGCAGATATGTATTTGGTACTTCGAGGATCAATTTCAAGGATAACTTTCATATGCCAGTTCGTTGCAGATGTTCCGTGCATGAGTTCTTGAAGTCAGGAAAGATGCTGCACATAATGCGCGATGCTTCATCGCATGGCGTGCCGATTCTCGGGGGCAATTACGGTGTGAACCAGGCAGCCTGTGACCGCTCGCTACTGAATCGCATCCGCGGCCAAGTTCTTGGCAAACCCAAGAAATCGTACGATCAGTCCGTGCTGCAAGTGAGCAAAAAAAATCTGTTGTGATTTTAATCTTTTGAGAAATTGTGGAAGACTAATGTAATTATTATGAGAGAAGCTTGTAATTATAATGTAATGTAATTACAATGAGAGGAGCTTTTTCATTGTAAAAAGCTAGTTTTCATTTCATCATTGGAAAGAATATTGGGTACACGTTTAAAGAATACATTGTGTTCGTCTGCCTAGAGAACAGTGTGCTGAATATGTGAGGTAATAATTTGGCAATTTTTTGAATACGCAATTTATTTATTATGCAGGGGCGTGCCATTCATTTCATGGAGAAGAACCCCAGTATATCAAAACTCTACTTTGATTTACACTGCAAAGCTTGTATAAAATCATGACCAGCAATAGAACTGGAAACAATACTTATTTAATAACGAATTGTCTCCGTGCACGGATACACCTGAACCCGAAACCTTCACGTCATTTTCTCTCTCAAATTTATATTGAATTAAAACATATTGCATTTAAATTTATGTTTCTGCACTTCAATAACAAGTGTTTACTTATAATCCTATACAGTATCATACAGGTTTAATATATAATTCATCTCGCAACGAGTTTTAATTGTTACGTATATTGCTCCCCAGACGTACCTATACCCCAAGCTGGTTCACAGCTCCATCGCTCACGACAGCTTCACCTGTCAAAAGTTCCCCTCATCTGTGCCATTCCCAACCCAGAGAAAGGACGGCAAGTTTGTCGGCAACAGAAGGTGAGCTTAAGAAACCTGTTCGGCCTGTTGCGTCATTATGGTCTCTATTCAGAAGCAGATAGGAGCAACAATTGAAGGAAATTTAAGCTGATACTGATAATTGATTCTCACTAATATGTATAACATTCAGTGTCGGAATATCACTAATTTAATTCAAATTTCGCAGGTACAGAAGTGAATTCTCGGAAGATACGGTTAAGATCGAGTGCCCTGTTAAATGCAGGCCTCCTAACCAATCAAGACTGGAAATTTTGCTGAAAATTTTCATCCGAAGCTTTTTGTATTGGTTCTACAAACCGGTTATCAAGCATCACAGGCTTGTTCTTTTACTGTCCTGTACGAACCTAAAGGATCTACAAAGGGATTCTCTACAGATATGTCGTGCATATTTTCCATTCGTTTATCTATGCGGCAAATTTTTTTTATTTAAAAAAAATTATTACATATTTTATTTTTTACAAAATTAATTTTTTTTTCTGTTTTATTGCACGGAGTTGTCCTTGAATTTCGGTATTCATTATGAATATTTTTCTTAATGAAGGTCAATAATTGTCCAATTGACAATGAATGAAAGGGCAGCAGGTCTAAGATATCGACGTCCAAAACGTTGCCGCACTGCATTAAAATATAACTTATTATGCGACTTGTAAGGAACAGAATGAACTTTTTGACAGGTCGAAGTTTTATTGGAAGAACAAACAAATTAAAAAAAATGATAAAATTACATGAACCATGATAGACTGCTAGTCATTAATTTCTAAAAAGCGTGAAATTTTTTGAATTCATGCGCATCTCAATGAAAGATACATATTGATTCACGTGAAACTTTTTGGGATTGCAAAGGTTCAATTATTATAACATCTTTATATACTTGGTGCGATAATAACGTAATAAAATTATGCTCTCACACAACGTATGCGAAAACAAAAAAAATTTGCTTGTTTGTCGGTTTCTCTGAGCTATAGTGCTACAATAAATTTTGATCATCACCAGCATTGTTAGGATGACGATGCAACATTCAATTCTGATCATCACTAGCTAGGTGAGAAGGATTAAGAAGATTTAGTGCGTCAAGCAGACCAAATTGCTCGTCTGAGCTGTGAAATGTATTGCCTTCTTTTAAGAGACTCACTCGAAATTTTATTCGTGTCTTATAATGCATAACCAAGTATTGAAAAGTGCTTTCACTTTTAGCCTGACGGCCGAATGCAATTCTTTTTCTCATTCTTCGAACCTATTTTCAATTGAAGGCTCTATATCCTGAATTGTCGTGATGACCTTTTATAAATTCTGGCCTGAGCAGCTGCCTAATTTATTCAACTGGACTGCAAGAAACAATGCAATTTATAAATACGATTACGATACGAAATAGTTTACGATTGAGAAAATTTGCACAATAGCTAGCATCACTAAGACTAGTTAAATACACTAGATGGGTTAAATGAATATTGGTGAGCCATCGTTGGTCCTATTATTAATGAGGTCTTCACTACTCAGACAACAGAATAGTTATGTTAATTTTTCTTATATTTATGAATAGTTATTTGCATGAGTGTTGTTTGATTATGGATTCTTAATCTTGATAGAGGTTATATTAAGTGACGTAATCGCACAATATCACAAAAATTACTCGTCATCAAAATTTATCAAATTTTCTATTCAGTTTGTATGCACTTAGGTTGTACGGATGAATTGATGTGTGACTTATTATTTTATATTAAACTGTTTTTGAAAAAAGTGAATCACGTTTGAAGTAAAATAATAGTACTATTCATTTTTTTGTTCATTCCTAATCCGTCTCACTACTCAAAACTTGTTCCGGCCCATTTACTGAGCTTTAGTGCACTGCATCATAGTTGAAAATACGCTTATTTCATTGATCTGAAATACCTATACATATTCTTCCTGCAAGCTCTGCTAATCGACGTATGACTTTTTCTTAATACAATGTCCCTAAATATTTAGCGCTTTTAGGTATTAGCCTCTTTCTTGATAATGTTAGCGCTATGTGGCGATCAAAGACAATTATAAACGAGCAGATGAAGTTTACTTAATTTACCGTTAGTAGGGAGGTATTCGATGATGACAGAAAATTATTGCCGTCAGTTGATGAGTGCACGCAACGTTGAGTGAAAACCCGAACGAGCGTGACCGGAAACCGGATAATTAAACATGATCGCTTCAAGCAACGTGATTTTGATATTTTAATTCGAATGATTGAGGCCACGTCTGATGGTTCCGGCCTCAAAGACTAGCAATGCTCAAACTCTTTCATTGCACGGGTTGTTTTTTCTGTGATCGGTCTACTGTTTAAATTTTGAATAATTTCGCGATGTCTGCATTACTCCATAAAATCTGATCGAGTAAGTTAGAAAGTTTTGGACGATAATCATTCCACATATAATGAACAGGTCACACCTTAAAGATGAAGATTCTGAAGTGCAGTACATTTGGCGAAAAAAGATCAATCGTATTCCGGTATGCGGCTGAAAATCAGACGATTTCGTAATTTTAAGAGCTTTTTCTCACTGGTGCAGTAGGAATCACAACCTTTCATATTATATTAACTCTAATTTCTAGGCACATTATAAGTGTTGTTTGAAACAGATCTACTCATTGTTTGCTTCTTCATGTTCAACGATCATATTCATATCTCCACTCAAATCTCCTGAAACCTGTCAATCGCGTCAGGATTCAGTGGTTTAAAGCCTATTTTAGGCAGGTTTTAGGTGTAGGATAGGTGGTGCACGCCACCTTTAATTCACTGTATAAATCATAGTTTCTCCACCTATGGCGTCCGCCGATAGCCATCATAAAACATAGGTGCTCCACTCTTAACTTTTATTTGGGAAGTGCAGCCAAAGACATATACAGGGTGATCATAATAGAAAAATTATGATCATTAGAAAATTTTATTTGATATATGAATTAATCTGAATAGTACTGGAATTAATAAATTCCATGGTTTTTAACTGTGTATCTGGCAAATATCGACCTTCGCTATCCACACCCTGCTGCATACGTTTTCATGAACTCTAACAAGTATGTCCACTGGTGTTCTGCCAATTTCAGCTTCAATATTGTTCCTTTGGCCTTCTAAGGTGTTGGGGCGGTTGATATACACCTTACACTTCAGGTAATCCAAAGGAAAAAATCGCATGGGGCTAAATCTGGTGAGCGTGCTGGCTAGGTCACATGCATCACCCCTCAAAGAGATTAGCCGTCCAGGAAACATTTGCCTCAAACAATTCATGGTAACCCTCGCTGTCTGCAGTGGCACCATCCTGGTGGAACCATGTATCCTCTAATTCCATTGTCTCAAGAGCTGACTGAAAATAATCCTGTATCATAGACAAATACAGTTCGGAGTTCACAGCTATGGCACGACCGTTATCCTGAAAAAAGTAAGGACCAATGTTGTCTACTCATGATATGGCGCACCACACAGTGACGCGGTCCGAATGCAGAGGTCTCTCGTGAACTTCTCTGGGGTTTGTTTCACTCCAGTAACGCATATTTTGTTTACACACCCACTGAAGTGAATATGTGCCTCATAATAAAAAACTCATTTGCATCACGGGGTATAGTTGCTAAAATATTGCCCCGAGGGACGATAGAACCCGAGAAGTGCTCCGGCAGAAGCATCCTCCGGCACCTGAGGACCTATCTCTCCCTGAACCTGCAGGAGAAGACTACCCACCTCCTTTTATCGTAGGGAAGGGGATGTGAGGAAAGTCATCGCTTCCTTCAAGCCGGGTTCGGCGGGTGGCGCGGACGGGCTCCGCCCGGGTCATCTGGTGGCCCTGATTTCGCGGAAGGCGGGTGAAGAGGGAGCGAGGCTACTGGCCTCCCTTACCGGGTTCGTCAACCTGGTGATTGGAGGGCGGGTTCCTGAGTTTGCAAGACCGGTGTTCTATGGAGCCACTCTGTGCGCCCTACGGAAGAAAGACTGGGGGTATTCGCCCCGTAGCGGTTGGGAGCACCTTATACGTCGCTTGGCTACCAAGGTTGGAGCATGGCCATTGTCTCCGTTAATAGGGGAAGCACTTCAGCCGGTCCAATTGGGGTTCTCCACCAGGGGTGGGTGCGAGGCTGCTGCTCATGCAGCCAGTGCGTACCTCGGGCGTGCCTCGGGCCGGAGAGTGTTTTTCAAGGTTGACATGGAAATAAAACTAATTCTCTGGTCTTTAACAAAACTTGTTTAAGAGAAGAAATTCTGCCAGCCTACACTAATTATAATAGAGCAGATGAAGTTTACTTAATTCACCGTTCGTAGGGAGGTATTCGATGACGACGGAAAATTATTGCCGTCAGTTGATGAGTGCACGCAAAGTTGAGTGAAAACCCGAACGAGCGTGACCGGAAACCGGATAATGAAGCATGATCGCTTCAGAAGCGTGTCATCGATTGACCTGCAAACTCGCGACCAGGCGAAATTACTTGACGAGTTGAACGATTGAACTTTGACGTGTAGAATAACTCTTCGATGTTACAGTCATCAGCAGTCCAGCAGCGCAGCAGCTGCGGCCACGGAAAATTTTAAGTTAATTCTCGACATTAAGTGAAATGTTTCATTGTCAGTTACAAACAATGTTCAGACTGTTCAGTAATAAATCTAAAGCTGTTCACTTGCATGCATCTGCTACTCACTAGAGAACTCATGTTCATGGGCCGATATTCTGTATTATGTCAGAACGTTGAAACAGCTGGTGTTTGTGAGACTCAACCTGTCACCTTTTCTACGAAACTTGTACTGTGGTTGTGATCTAGGCCTATTATATTTAACTAACAAAGGTGTTTTGATCGCCACCTTTACTAAAAAACAGCTGGAAGGTAGTGTAGCAGCAGCAGCAGTGGTAGTCGTTGACGTCGCTGTCAGAAAGCCTTTGCCGTCACTTTTGTCGTAGTGAGGTGTAGTAGAGTTTTGATCACCCACCTTTATCGAAGAGTGGCTTAGAGGTAGTGTAGCAGCTGTGGTAGCCGTTGCCGTCGCTGTTGTTGTAGTAGGGTGGGATGGCAGCGTTGGTTACGATGCAGTCTCGCGAGGCCGCCAGACAAAACGTAGAATTTTCCTGACTGGAGGCCACGGCGGCGCACCTGACGAGCGTCATGTTGGGGTACGTGGTGTTGACCACGTTTCCTGCAAGGTCCGAGGCTTGCAGTTCCACTTTGTAGGCAAGTACCGAGCCTCGCATGACGCCTCCAGCGCCACCAAAGTTTATGGCGACCAGACACGTCGTGGCTAGGAACGTACCAAACGCAGCCCTCATCGTCGTTGCGACTGCTGTCTTAGCGGTTGGCTGTGCCTCTGTTTTGATATAGATTGCTTTCGGTAATCGGGTAAACATCCCGTAATTACTTTATATCAAGTAGAGGAGTTGATATGTTTCTCTATACCTAATTTTTATCCGGAAATTCTATTTCTGAAATGAAGTTTTTCAACAGCCACGGAATTGTGATTATTACCAGAAAAAGGAAAGTAGAGTAGTAGTGGAGTGCCTTTGTCATTAGTTTCGCTAGCCTATGTTATTAGTTGAACTAGCCTATGTCATCAGTTGCACCAGCCTATGTCATCAGTTGCACTAGCCTATGTCATCAGTTGCACTAGCCTATGTCATCAGTTGCACTAGCCTATGTCATCAGTTGCCTGTCATCGGAGGCGCTTACGGTGAACGTTGCTTCGTGATCGGACGCACTTTTGATGGAC